ATAAAGGTACAATTCCCAATGAGAAATGTAATTGTGTTGTATACCTACAATGTACCAATAAAAGAATTTAATACAAAAAAAAAAAAGAACACATGCTGCAAAAGCACCTTCTTTCAGTCATTCAACAACTTTTTAAAAAGTACTGTACATACAAAGGTAATCTTAAATAGGGGAGAGACCTCACTTCTGCAAAATTCCCTAATTATCCTATTCAGGAAAGAGAAGCAATTATATATGTCTTGATGGAGAAAAATTACATGTTATGCAAAATTCTAAACTATGAAAAAATGCTCAATATTTTGAAACATGTTTATAAATTAGAAATGTACTCCAACATCTCAAATATTGCCAGGTGAAAGCAGTAACTGTGGCAAGTTTATATTCTCAAAATTTAAATTTAACTGTTTTCCTTTAGAAAGATAAAATTTTAAAACAATAAAATTACATTTAATGAGAAAGTACAAAGAATCACAAGCAGTTATTTTATATCACTGTAAATAAGAGTTACAATAGTGAGTCTCTGAAACAATTCAGTTGTTTTATTTCTATTATTATTTACTTTACACAACAGATTAAATGATCTTTTCCACGTATATCTTCATCTGTTCTCCCTCTTGCCCAGTGATTAGTATTTACAAACATGTTGTTGCATACAATTAATGATTAGGTACGAGAAACTAAAGGGAATTGGTCCAAGGCCAATCAAGAAGAGAAGAAGTCATTTTCAAGGCAAGATTGCAAATCTTACCTTTTTCAAACTTGAACTGTCCATCATCCTTTTGCTCTCAAGACCCAAATTACAGATAGAAACTGAGCAAGAGTTTTACAGTAAATCTCTGTTAAAATCTTCCGCAAGAAAAAGTAAGAACTGGGGAAGAAATGAACATAGGTGACACCCGGAGCTAATCTTCTTATATTCACAGTCCACTTATCATGCTGACAGACAGCTCCATCCTCTGCCCTGAGGGTGCAGGCACCCGGAGCAGGCTGGAAAAACTGCTGGTTATAAACTGGTGCCGAGAGTGAGCCTCTATCTCTAATGTGGCAGCTCACTTCTCCTTCCTGAGAAGCTAAAAGCAGCAGCTCTCATCTTACACATGCAGTAACTGAGCCAGCAAGAGATATAACCCTCTCTTCTTGCCCACATTAGCTCAGTACTCAATACTCAAGTGTACTTTGACCTTTTCTGTCTAAGGAAAAGTCAAAGAAGAGAAATCCAGGTATAACCAAGAATCACAACTTGCCAGGTGTGACCAGACAGCAAAGAGAAGGGATTAAAAATTAAAGACAAACCATGTTAACATAAGCAAACTGAAGACATTTAGCAGTGTTAGGAGTGGTTCTCAGAATTTTAAATGCACTTTTGACATTTATTCCAATACCCATAAAAGAAAAGCCCACAAAATGGTAGAAGCAACACCAAGGCTCAAACATCTGTCTAGACTAGAGGTTCAAAGTTCTCCTTTCAAAAAGCCACCCACATGAACAGGTAAGGTAGCCACTTTTGCCCAACTCACTCCAGAGGGAATTGTGACATTAACCTTGTACCACTAGGGAGCCATTTTATTTGGGAGGTTGTTGTCATGGGAAGGGGATGGGTATTTCACATGGAAGGTGGTGACCCCACAGGGTCATCATCAATCACCTGGGGTCACAGACCTTCCAAATTGTGAGAAGAGGCAGGGGGTCAGCAAAGGAGGGCAGAGAAAAGATCAAAAGGCCTTTGATGAGGGTTATCTACCTATATAATAGGACCTACAAAATGGAACTTCTCTGCAGTTGAAAACCTCCCAGCTTCTGAGGTTTTTGTTTAACGTGGCTGCTTACTCTGGAGACTAGAGTCAGCAGATGGCAGGAGAGCCCTAGAGGCTCGGGTTTACAAGACTGCTAATGCCACCATCCACCTCAGTGGACAGAGTACTAAGGATTGTTTCCTTCTTCAAGAGCAAGCTCCAATAGGGAGTGGAGGGAAGACCTGCAGTTGGCCAAATGGCAAAGCAGCTTAGTGTGAGCCCCCTTGCGATTCTGTATATTACCTGCTACAAATGCTCATCTCTGCTCTTTGTAAAAAGCAAGCATGAAAAGGGATATTGGGATATCAATGTGTCTCCATAAGCCAATGCCAACAGAAAGCAGAGGGTCTGTGGGATTCTTTCCCTTAGCAAGGCCATTGTCTTTGTTCCTGTTACCACTGATTAATGACTCTTAGGTGAATAAAGGAGCACAAGAGATGGGATGACCTGGTTGGAATGCTATGTAAATCAACTCCATTGTATACATAGTCTGAGGAAGGAAAGAGGCAACTTTAATTCAGAAATAGGTAGGAAAAGAGGCCTCCACCAAACCCTTGGTCATCATTTTGTGGTACAGAGTCCCGAACATCCGTAATAGGTACCTCTCTCTCTCTCTCTCAGGCACAGAAAGAGACTGATAACAATAAAACAATTATAATAATATACTATAATTTTTTTTGGTACTGGGGATCAAACTTGGGTCCTTGCGCTTGCAGGGCAGGCGGTAGAACCACTGAGCTAAATCCCTGGCCCAATATACAATAATTAAGGTTATGCGACTGTGGTCTCTCAAAATATCTTGCACTCTTCACCCTTCTCCTGGATGTGAGATGACATAAGCCCACATGATGAGAAGGACTGAGGAGAAGGACATGGGCCTTCTAGTGTAGAATTAGGCTTCACCCTGACAATGCATTAGGAGGAGGATCATTTGCTTCCTTTTAGAGCAGGAAAGTGGGAGATACAGTAAAGTCCACAACTTACAAACAATCAAGCTGTGAACTTTCACAGGTGTACTGTGTAAGACTCACTGATTAGGAATGAATACAACTTAGGAACGTTCTCCCAGGACGGAACTCATTCATATGTCAGGGGCTTACTTTATCATCATATTACTTAGACTAGTGCATAATTTATAAGTTATGAATTGTTTATTTCTGGAATTTTCAGATCATGGTTGACCATGAGTAGCTGAAACTGTGAAAAGTGAAACCTTGGATAAGACCACTGTACATTCTGGGAGAATCATGAATCCTGAGCAGACTTTGTCTTGTCTCTAGGATACCTTTCTTTACTAGCTGGTGAGTGTCATACTTTAAGAACACAATGGATATTTTAAACACTCACTGATGATGTTTATCAAAATAATTATGTTAAGAAATAAAACACAGAAAAGAGCAATAAAAATGGCTTTCAGATTACGGGCTGTTTTGATTAACCATGCCCTACATGCCTCCAGCCTATTCCCATTAGCATGGATAATTGAGAATCTGCTGCATTTCCATTTTAACAGTCTAATGCATTTCAGGCACTAAGACAGGAAACCAAACTTTTGGTTATTATTTCATTTTATATAAATTTAGCACATGGCACTAACCTCTGTACAGTCCAAAGAAGCCTTCATAGCGTAGCACTTTCTTAAAACAGTCAAAGCTGTTTTTATACATGAGCTCTCCCACAAAAGAGCCAGTTGATCGCTGGTTCTGCATTCGAGTTTTTACAAGATCTATAGGATACACAGCAGTGGCTCCAACAGCTAAAATTAAATATCAACATTTCAAAGGGAATTAAGGTCAAATGAAGGAAAAAAGGAGGGTAAAATCAAAGGCTCAGAAGAGATGCAAAATTCCCATGTACTGATTTAAAAACCATACTACCCTTAATATATCATTATGGAATTTTATTTAAGTATCCCCTGATAAAAGGATGTCACAGTTTAAATTAAAAGGCTATCACCACAGCCTAACCTCATTATTAACTTGACTTTAGGAAGCCTGGCTGAAGATAAGTAAGAGAAAATTGTCATTTGTAAGACTCTGGCTGTGTGTAGGTATGGACAAAAGCCTTATTTCCTCTGGTCCTACCTCATAGATATAGACTGGTAAGTGGCTTGTAAAACAATGAGAGAGAGCTCTGTCCTGTAAAACTGTAGGTGGAAAGTCAAAGAAAAGACAGAAGGAATAACAAATATGATAATTTTACTCTCATCCATGACTAACCTCCAGCAATGGAACCCAGACCAAACCTGTAGGCTGACTCTGCAACCTGTAGGAGAACTGGCCGAGTTGAATCACCCAGGGCCTTCTGCTTTGCATGCACACGATGTGGAAAGCGGGCCGGCAGAGGACAAAACAGGGGCAGAAAAAAAAGAGTTCATATTATTTAAAAAATTACTTACTGGGCTCTAAATCTGTGATACAAGCAAAATGTGAAAGAGGAAAGTAGGGTTAGATTCCTTAAGTACTTATTAATAAAAAGTTTTTATTGCTATTAATGTTTAAGTCAAATTTGAATATAATCAGAGCCATTTCCTACCAAAAATATTATGAAATTATTTCCAAATGTTCAATTCCCATTAATGATCGAAGAAATGCAAATTTTAAAATATTCATGAGATAACTATATCATTCTTCATTAATCAACTTGCCTAGTTTTTGATTTATATTTTTTGTTTTTGTTTTAAATGGAAATACCTAGACTGGCAAGGGCTAATTAAAAACAAGCTTTCTCCAATTTGTCATTAAGCCCAGTGTAAGCTGAGGAAAATTTGATAATACACATCTAAATACACAAAATGTACATAACCCGAGCCTGAAATTCTTCTTATAAAAAGTCAGGCTAGAAAATAATCATACATGTAAACAAGTATCAAGCTCTAACAATGATAAAATGCAGTATTCTTTTAAAAGCTAAATACCCTAAGTGCCCAATAATAGAGAATTGTTTAAAACATAATTCTGTTACTTTAAAATGAAAATGTGTCATTAAAGAAGTTTTTGTTTTGTTTTTTTGTGACAGGGTCTTGCTTTGGAGTTCAGGTTGGCCTTCCTTGAATTCACTAACGTAGTCCAGGTTGGCCTCAAACTTGCAGTGGTCCTCTGGTTTCAGCCTCCCAAGTGCTGGACAACAGGCATGCACCACCACATCCAGCTTAAAGTGGTATTGTTGAAGGACAGCTGATGTTAGTAAAAATGTTTACAAGCTACCATATATGAAAACACAAGCTAAATAGAGCACAGTGGGCAGTATAATTCTCTTTACTTTTGAGTGGTAGTTTTTTAGAAAAACACTTTTTTAAGATTGTGCAACATGGAGTCATTTTTATTAAAATTATATTATATATATATATTTATATGCACACATATAAAATTAATACTAACATTTTGGTACCCTTACTACCCAGAGATATTCGAAATATTTATGGTGACTATAAGTAGGTGGCTGTATTACAAACGATTGTTACTTTTTCCTCTCTTTTGCCTATCTTTCCAAAATTTCTACTTTAGGGCAGGTGCTGGCTGTGTTGCTGTTCTTTTGACCTCTATTATCCTTAGTGTTTCTGAGACCAGAACACTTTAGAGTATTGCACTTTTCTGGCTGCATAAATAAAACAGTAATTTTATGTCAGAGTTGTCAAATGAGGGTGACATTAGTCAGTGTTTAATAAATACCTGTTGAATGAATAAATACATTCAATAAAATTTGCTTCTCAAAAGTTATGATAATTAAAATCAGCGAACAATGAAAATAATCACCAGCCCCAGGTATCAACCCACTGAATTTTCGTTGCTGTCACTGTAACACAATTCTAATACAAAGAGATGATTTGTAATCTCCTTCAGAGACAACTGACTGAAAATAGTTTTACACAGGAATATGCATTTCTATGACTGTAAAACATTTCTTCTGCAAATTCCATGGGTTGTTTCCAATTCTGTCTGTGTACAGATGGAGATCAGTAACATGTTCACTATGACAGACATATCCAAAAAAGAAGCACTATTTTATTTACATATATAAAAATATGCAATACTTAGAAACATTCTGGCATCAAAATAATGAGTGAAAAATATTCTGAAAATAATGAGAGGAAGGAATTATCACTAATTCCTTATCTAAGACAAATGCAATTCCAGACTTTCATTTAACTTTTCAGAAGAAATGTAGTATGTTCTTAAAATGACACAAGAAAGACTCCTCCTCCTTCACTGGTCTGTGGAGGACAAATGCTTCAAGGACTGCACAGGGCTGGGACAGGCACACTTGCCCACAGGTGGATGATCTCCTACACTTGAATCTGTTGGGCCCAGTGGGGTTCATGCAGTAAAAAGCCCACTGTATTCCTGGAAGGCCGCTGTGAATTGCTCTAAACCTCTAAGCAGCAGCCAATCATTTCCTGCTGTAAATCTCATCAAACTAGTCTAACCCTTTCATGGCCAGTATCAACAAGTACCCATTACAAACTCTCAAAACCTGCAAAAGGCATAAATGGAAATGATGGGAGACTACTGCCAGCTGGAGAACAAGAGAGACGTAACACAAAAACTGTTTTTCTTAATCCCCAAATTTCTACAATAGTTGGTGTTATACAGAAGAAGAGATAATCATCTCATAAGCATTGTTTAAAATCAAAGGGAGGGAAAGCAATGTTGCTTCCACCTCTGGACGTGATTATGCAGTTCTTTCTCCTGCACTAAGGGAAATCGGCTTCCTCTTTTAACCACAGCCAGCTGGGTTCCAGAGGTGCCTCGTTAGGATTTACTGAGCACACACCCACTACTTTGACTTACATGCTGCACACAAAACTTGCTGCTTCTTTTGGGTGGGAAGGAGCTAAAAGGAGGGGGTCCTGGCTCCAAGCCTGACAGTCCTAAAAATGTAGCCTGCATCAACCCATTGTGGTCAAACTGGCGTCTCTGTACAGACCCAGAGCCCCAAGCCAAAAACAGTGAGGTCTCAGAGGATTCAGAGATGGCTTTGCCTTAAAGGAGGTATTTTTCTAAAAACGACACTCTGTCTGCGAGGGGATTTATTTTACAAATGCCTGCAAACACAACACACGTTATGAAGGCTTTTCTTCTCTAAGCCTAACCAATAGAGTCGAGCAAGAGTTAAACGAGGAGGTACCGTGTCTTAAGTTTCTGACTCCCATAACTTCAAGTGATTGGTTTCTGTTAACCATAAAATAAAATTTAACATTCCTAAAATTGTTTCCACATAACTTATGAATCTTTTCATAGAGAAAATAGATCTAAAAGCCTTCAAACTATGACTCCAGACTAAACAAAATTATCTCATTTTGATATTCAGAAAAACAGAAGGCATGGCACTTAGACAATGCACTGACAGAGCGCTGCTCTGCAGAGTAGAGATGGTTTGCATTTAGCAACATGCAGAGGCTGACAGGGGCAGTGACACCAACCCAGGGCTTCTCTACACATCCCTTAACATGAGGTTTAGGGAAGAAGAATCAATCTACACATTTTGAGAGTGTGTGGCTTCCAGTGCATGAGAAAATCAACCCATCTATGAAAGAAACAAACAAATGCCAGTATCTGTTCATCAGAAGGTCTCTAAGTAACTTCTCTTTTCAGCCCTCTGAAAATTATCTGGATTTGAGTGGGAAGATGAAAAAATGTAAGTCAGATACCAATACCAGAAGGGCAACTGCAAGTGAAAAGGGGCTTGGGGGTGTCTCCCTAAGGGAACATCAGGGTGCAAATCTGTTCCTTTCACTTACCTGCCTCTGGGCTTCAGCCAAGTTGAAGGGCAGAGTTCCCTCTTCCAAAGGAGCAATTCGCTCAATATCTGCTAAAGTCATTCGTCTGGAGGGAAAACAAGCACAAGCAGAAACAAAATACCAATTTATTAAATTCACATTATGGAATTTTGAAGTGTCCATTTTATCATTTCCCATATTTTAGTGTTGCCTTTCATTTGCTTTTTTTTTCTCCTCCTTGCTGCCCTCCTCCCATCCCTACCTTCAAGCCTCCTTTTATTAAGCTAATTAAAAAAAAAGCCAACTTACCCCCTTGGCTCATATAAATCTGCTAACTGAAACAAGATGTCTACTTCCATGGGTGTAACCTGACCAAATTTCTGAGCTGCCAGAACAAACTCCTCTGTATGGAAAAAAGTTAGAAGGAAAAGATTCAAGAAGGAATAACATTAAATTTAGCATTAATTCAAGGCACTGGAATAAGTGAACATCACAAAACTTTATTATTATCAGTCACAGAATTCAAGGCAATCCAAATAGGGTGAGAATTTCTGTAGTTCTTTCATTCACTTGGAAGAGTATGCAGAGTACTTTTTCCAACATTTAGCTGACAAGTTCAGTGTCATCTGAATAAACAACACAGGGTGTTACTCAAATTTCAGATCAAGGAAAATGAGGAAACAAGCATATATGAAACTTCATACGCAAAGGTCCCAATAGGTTTTATTAGGTAGAATTCCTAAGTGAATCTCTGTTTTAGGAAAAAAAATTCCATTAAAAATAATACAGTATCTTATTCAAGTTCATAGATCAACTTACACAGTCTGCAATACAAGTCTGTTGAATTCCTCATGTACTTTTGAAGGCCACTTTAGAGGCTGTCAATTTAGCTCAAGTTTTAGCAAGGTCTGAAAATATTCAAGAAACTTTACATGTTTTTCTAATTTAAGTACTGTCTTTGGTTTATTTAAAACGTGGCAAGGGTTGTTTTGTTTGCTTTTGTTTGTTTGATCAAAGGATGGAGAACATACATACCATATGCTTAATATGTGTGAGTGTGAATGGAATAGAAAAATCTATAACATAAACTCCTGATTGTCTCCTTCATTCCCCAAGATACTTGCAGGCAAGAATTCAGATATATTCTCACTCACCCTTGGTTACTTCTACATCTTTCCTGTTGCCAGCCAAAGTGCTGTAGATCTTTCTAATGAGTTCCATGTTGTTAAGAAGCGAATTAAATCCATTAAAATAGGAGAAACTAACTTGATGGGATGTGGTACCTCCAGCAGCCTTGGGAAGTTGAAAGTAAGAGAGAGAAGAAGAAAAACAAAAAATTTATAGGTGAAGAAGATTCAGAGGTACATATTATATCTAATGTTAGTTTGGAAGTAATCAAGAATGTATGTATAAGAAGACATGACTGTTAAATTTTTCTTTCACATTAAAATAAAAGAAAGCTATAAATATTTCCTAAAAGTAACTGAAACTAATCATGACCAGAACCTGTACCTTCCATATACAACTCCCAGAAAACTAAATAAATACATGTGTAGGACTTTAACAAGATCAGTAGTAATTTACAGAGTTCAAATTTCAATTGGAAATGTTTTATAAGTTGGTTTATTTCGTCTAATGAGCAAATCTTACAGGCTTCTACATACATAACTACTATACACATGCACACATGCATGTGCTTATACATGTGGAAATGTATATCAATGTAACTACACTGTGAAAGTGGCCAATCTAATATTAATAGCAAGAATTGCCAAATTACCTATAACCAGCAATAAATAATCATTTAAGCATAGACTTTACTTTAGTGGGATTTTTAACAAATAAGCATATTATGGTAAAAATATGAGATCTCATATGCTTGAATGGAGGTTAAGACTGGTCAGGATTTTGTTAATCAAAACTTTTAAGAAGCCATATTTCTTCACGGGACAAGGGAAAGAGACAGAATGTCCATTATGAATGGAACTTCAGTTTGGGGTTTCCAAATCAATCTCTCCCTAACAAGGCAGAATATTTTTATTTGGAAAACACTTCTTTATAAGGTAACAATCACATAAATCATTTAAAATAGTAATCATTTAAAATAGTAATCATTTAAAATAGGTGACATGTGATTTAGTATGGAGTAGGAAGAGGGGGCCAAGAAAAGGAGTTAGATTAACACTGTGCCAGAGAGGCAAAGGTCAGGTCTGAAGGCCTCTCTACAGAAAGACACAACACAAAATAAAGGGGTACAGGGGTGAGTTCCTACGGATGGTAAGCATGGTGAGAAACCTGTATGACAGTGAAAACAGTCTTCTGGCTGGAATTAACAAAAAGAAAGCTACCACTGCAAAGTGGTTCCCAAACCTGAGTGATCATCAAAATCATCTATAATCTTTCCAAAAGGTCTAAGAGCTCATTACCTATAGGCAGTGAAGACCAAGCCTAGAACAGACCTACTGTCTGTATTTTTTTTTTGGCACCAGGGATCGAACTTGGGACCTTGTACTTGTGAGGCAGGAGGCAGAACCACTGAGCTAAATCCCCGGCCCTACTCTCTGTATTCTTAAGAATTGTTCTGGTGATTCTGGTGCTCTATAACCAGGGCTTGGGAATCACGCTGCAGACGGTGCCAGAAAGACACCCCAAGGCCTCTGAGGAAGGTCAACAGCTAAACACCCTCAGGGAGGGAAGATCCATGATGCACGACAGTATGGTTCTGCCTGTCACAAGTGCTATGGCAAGCTTCAATAACTCATGGTGAATGAGTGAACAAATCTAAAGTTACTGTTTGCTCACTATTGTAACAATAAATGTGTGTGCCCCTTTTCTTTGTGCCTTAAAGAACAAGAATATCAGTATTCAATATACCTCAAAGTATGAAGCAAAATTAACATGTGATCACTAATTTGTTTTTCTTTTCTTCTTTAACCAGTTAATATAATCAGTCTTCCATATCTACTAGTTCCACATCCATGGGTTTAATTCAATCAACCACAGATTGAAAAGATTTGGGGGAAAAATTACCTCTGTACTGAACATATACACTTTTCCCCCCTTTTTATTCCCTAAACAATATAGTATAACTACTAATTATATTATATTTACATTGTATTAGGTATTACAAGTAATCTAAAGATGATTTAAAGTATCAAGAAGATGTGTAGGTTATATGTAGAGACTATGTCATTTTATATAAGTGAATCGAGCATCTACTGATTTTAATATGTACATTGCTGGGGGGGAGGTGTTTGTAGAACCAGCCTTCCATAGACATCATGGGACAACTGTACATTTTTCTAAGATGTTCCATATACTGAAGACATTAAATTAACCTATCCACTAAAACTAGCCAAAACATACTTTTTGCTTGTAAGTATGGCAACAAATGGAATCAGGTTAAGAAAATATTAGTGTTTTAAACACTAATAATTTATAAGAATATAATTTGTAAGAATTGTTCTTTATATTCTCTTATTCACTTAGCTTAAACCAAGTAGAACAAATTACTCCCTTAGGGCCAAGTTACAACTTACAGCGACTAGACATTCTTCTACAAATGGTGTCAAGACATGGGGGCGGATGGTGACCATGATGTCTCGGAAGTCAATGGCTGTGACTCTTCCAGTCTTGGCACTGTCACGCTGCACAAAAGCTTGCTTTGCATGCTCCAGCTGTATTTCCTACAAATAGAGAAGGTGAAATACTTACGAATTTTTTTTTCTTACTTAATTACTACAAATGACTATTCATTTTCAAAACAGGCTGAAGAAATACAGATTATGTCTTGATTCAACAAGCCCCAACTGTTAGTTTGTTAGGGTCCCCAAGCTACTACCTCCTTCCAGAGAGAACTTTGGTCAAATCAGTGAACACCTCTTGAGAAAGTGCATCTCTCTTTAAATTTCCAACCCAGGAAAACAAACTGCTTCCATTCTGTGCTATAATCTGAGGCACAAGGGAAACGAAAACTGGAATAAAGTTTGGTAGGTTCAAGGATCTGGCCATATCCAGCTTAGGTAAAGCAGATGAAAAGAAAAAGCATGCAGAAACATTAAGCTCTATCCGAGGAAGAGCAGTTCCTAAGCACAATCTGGTACATAACATGATGTAACAGCGGATTAAGAGGGGGTCTTTTCTGGAATACGCTATTCCTGTAACAAAGGGTTTCTCAGCCTGGCACTACTGACTGACATTTTGGGCAGGTCAAGTCTCTATTATGAGAGGCTGTCTTGCGCATCCCCTCCCCTCTTCCCACTAGATGCAAGTAAACCCTCCCCTCCCAGGGGTATGACATTCAAAAATGACTCCAGAGAGAACCGTAAATCTTGGTTGAAAACCCACTGCTCTAGAATGAGGAGCTGGATGATGCGTGGGTCAGAGGTAGCAGACCTGGGGGAGAGCCTGTGGGTACAGATAGAAGTCACAGGCTCTCAAGTAAGGACGCGTAACCGTGAAGCTCTGTGACCATTCCCAGGAGATAAGCGCGTACACAAAACAAAACTTAGCCTCCCATTGAAACTCACTGCACACCACAGGGCAGAAGGATTCTCTCTGCAGAGAGCAGGTCTGCATCTTTCCCAGGACACTCTGCTTCCCTCCCAAATAGGCCCTTAGAGAGAAAGCTAATTTCTATGCAATTAAAAAGTATCACTGGAGTGGCTCTCAAGGATTTCAAATTATTTAAATGAAATGAGCTTTTATTAGATGATATTAAGGAATTAATGTTTTTAACTTTGGTGAGACAATAACTTACAAATGTGTAAAGATGAATTATCCTTATGAATGAGTGCAAACTAAAGTATAAGAGAAGTGATATTCTTTAAAGTACTCTAGGTTCCCTTTTCTTGCTCCAGAGAGGGGGAAAGATGAAAAAGCTTGACAAAATATTGAAAAAGACTAAAGCTAGATAAAGAGTAAATGGTGAGGCGTTATACTACTTCTTTCCATTCTTCCATAGTTTGAAAATGTGCAATTATAAGAGTAAAGGATAAACCCTAAATAAAAATCAGACCCTAAAGTCTGTGTTATAGGACCTGTCCTGCAGTCTTGTTGGAGGGAGTTCTTCAAGAGTAGCCCAACTTGCTCCTTGAATGTGAGGTGTCAGGCAGCCCTCTACCTTGGGGTCCTGTCACTCTGCTTCTGAGGGAAGGTGCTCCCTGCCACAACATGGAAGATTCCTTATAACCTAAGGCTTGACTCCCACATTCAAATCTCCCACTCTTATCTGCCTGACCAAAATTTGTAACTACTTAGAGAATGTACCCTGGGAGTATCTCATGAAGGCCACAAAATTACACATCACTAAGCCTGGTATTACAATGTCTCCCACCTGACACTCAAAGCTGGTCCCTATTCTGCATTCAAAGCTTAGTTATTTGCACGTTGGTTTTCTGGTCACCTAAAAAGCTGCCATTTTCAATTCTTCAAGCTTCCTTTTCCCCAAGGGTATACCAGTTACCAATTACATCTCTTGGGCCTCTGAAAGTTCCCTCAAAGCATCTTTTCCTTTTTTCCCAGTGCCACCGGTTCAGGGACTCTTCATACCTTACCTAAATTACCACTATGGCCTCAACTATCAGCCTGGGGCTTCTTTATAACCTCTGCGGTCTGCCTTGTGTACATCAAAATTCACCTTTCAGCGTTACAGATCTGACCTCTACCTCCCTGTGCAGAAAGGTGGCCCTTCATCTTGAGACCCATCTGCAAGGTAGGCCACTCAAGACTCTATAGGAATTACTCTTAGCCTGTCTCCCACCACCCACCCCATACCCAGTCCCGCTCCCACACATACATTAAATACAACAAAGTCTTGAAAATCAGTGGCCTGAGTTCATGTGACTCTCTTCACAAACTTTATATAAGACCTGTCTTATTTCATGTTACATTAGAATCTGTTGTTGACATTGTTGTCATCACACTGTCTTTGCCAGGGAATAGACATTCTGTCTTGTCTATGCTTATCTCACTTACGCTGCTGGGCAGAATGCTGTAGGTACAGGCAGCACTTGCATGACAGACATTATTATCAGTGACAGGTAACCTGTAAGACCAACTCTATAAACAAATCACAACCTATTGAACAAAACAGGGTTCTCTGTATGAGTGCCTCCAATTTAAGAAGGAAAGAACCAACTGTTAAACACTCTATAGTGAAAAATGAGCACAGTATGTATTCAATTGAAAGTAAATGAACACAGTCTCCTTCCAATTACTAGACTCACTGCTTCAGCTATCATAAGCCAAGATTACTCTTCACAACAGTAGAGGGTATGTTAAGTCATTTATCATTTTCCCTAGTTTATAAACCCAGAGTTGTTGGGATCTTCAGAGCATGACACCAAAATAAGCATCACATTGCTTGACGACTCCATCTCCTCAGAGAGCAGGAAGCCAGAGTGCTAAGACCAGCCAAACTAGAATGACAAACTGAAGAGGATGTTGAAGTGGGGACCACTGCTCATGCTGCAGGGGAAGTAGGTGTGATGGAGAGAGTGTAACTACATATTAATGTGCCTATACTTTACCTTTTTAAAAAACTTGAGATGAAGTCCTACTATGTAGTCCAGGCTGGCCTTGAACTCATGATCTACCTGCCTCAGCTTCCTGTGTGCTGGGAGCACAGGTGTGGACCACTGCATCCAACTTGCCTACACATTCCTGATTAAATTATTTAACAGTTGGGACTCCATGATCATGCAATATAAAAGCTCTTTTCACTCTGATGATGAAAAACTTGACAATATATTTCCAACAGCTCCTAAAGATTGGAGACACTAAACTCCATGCAGAACAACAAGCTTGACCTATATAGTTGTTTCAATAGTAGGATAGAGTGAAAACATTCAGTTAGACGGTTCCAAACCTTATAGTAGATTACTAAAGATATAGGTTTTTCTATCTTCCGTGGCTTACTAATTATGTCATGGCTCTTTCTTCCTTTGGGTGAAGAAATGAAACTGTTAGTCCCACCAATACAACTGCCATGATAACCTGTTATGCGACACACTGTCCTAAGGTGCTTTACAAAAATTAACTCATTTCGTGCTCACAGCAAGCCTGTGTGTGGTGGGGTTTGATCATTAACCTCTCTGTACCCACTGGGGAAACTAGTACTCCCACTACCTCCCCAGACTGCATGGAAGGATTTGACACTTAGGATTCCCTAGGCCTGTAGAAAGACAGAACTTGATTTGCTTTTAAGTTACTCTTAATATTCTCTAGATTTTGCTATTGCCTATTTTCATGGGAAAACAATGTCATTTCCTAAAAGTTTTCCATTAAGGCAAAAACCTACACACCTAGATCACCAGGTTCCTTCTACTAACAGTTACAGAGAAGATGGAGGAGAAACCAAATCGAACAGACTTTCTCTGGTCCTTATGCACATTTTGCTCTTTCTCTCAGCCCCAAGAGACTGAGAAAAACAAAAAGGTCCATAGAGCTAATAGTTCAGTAACTCTAAATATTTAATTCAAAAGTGTGTTGTTTTCAAAATAAATTTCCAGGCCCACTATTCATGGAACAGTGAATTAAAATCAAAGCTCTATGGGCACCTTCATGGCTATTTAAGAAAAGTCAAATGTATATACAGGGCCACTAAAAGACTGATGACTTCTAGATGTGAAGCCAGAAGAGCTCAAATTGGGACCAAGAGCTTTTTTAGTGCACAGTAATACATCATATATAAAATAACACTCATTTGCTAAGTAAAGGGGATTAGAAAGGGCAAACAAGTTCTATGCATGGAGGACCAGAGCACAATGGGAGAAGCAACTGTTACATGCAAATATTTAAAAGTTAAAAAACTGTCAGGTTAAAAAAAAGATGGTAGGGTGCCTCTCCTTATTTCTTTAAAAAATAAATCAATGAAAAGGAAGTACTGGGGCCAGGATTTTGCACAATACACTAATGTATTTAACCTATAAAATTACTGAGTAATCAAATGGGCTACTTTGCAGAGTCACTGGTTCCATGTCACTGGAAATGTTTGTTCAACCAGTGACTAAAGGACATATGTCAAAGATTTCCTTTGATTTTAGCAGGGGGGTATGGAAGCACTGTGTTATGACAAGGACAGCATGAAATGTGGGACAGGAATGGTGGTGCAGTCATGCACAGGGAGAACTCAAGGTGATTGTGTTTGGGTCTTAGGCTGCAGTTCTTCCTTCATAAACCAGGCATACTCAAACTTTCCAGAAGGGCTAAAGGTCATGCATGACAGGCATTTAATAAGTGGTAGCTTTCATTTTTGTCAAAGTGAAAGGTTTTACAAACCTAAAAGTCCTTTTCAATATGGGAAAGGGGTTCTGCGGAGTCACTGTTAAACTAGCCACAGAACAGAAAGATCAAGTTCAGATAGGGGAGAGAACAACAGTAACAGCTAAAGGCTTAAAAACATATGTAGGCCTGAAGCTACTCCAAGAATTTCAAAAACAGCATTTTATTTAGACCTCACAATAACTCTGAGAATGAATTATCATTATCTTTACAAAGAGACACCTGTAGTTCAAGGTTACATAACTGGCCCAAAGTCACACAGCATAGAAGTAGTAGAGCTGAGAGTCATACTGAGGACTGTCTGATTCCAGAAATGAGATTTTTTACTGCCGACTTAGGCTGCCTGGGGCAAAGTCCTAAATAAGAGGATCAGAAGTAGGTTTGGCTAGAAACAGGAAGAGAG